GACGCGACGGCAAACCGAAATTTTGTCGGGTTCAACTTCATGTTATGAAGATTGAGCCTTTCTAAACATTCTTGGAGGTGTATGACGTGGTCGTGCTCTTTGAGGGATTTCACGAGCATATCGTCGATGTACACTTCCATTGTTTTTCCGAGTTGCTCGGAGAACATTCGATTGACAAGTCGTTGGTAAGTCGCACCGGCGTTCTTCAGACCGAAAGGCATTACTTTGTATCAATAGGTTCCCCAGTCGGCTATGAATGCGGTTTTCTCCCAATCGTCAGGATTCATCATGATCTGATTGTATCCTGAGAAGGCGTCCTTGAAGGATAAGAGTTTGTTTCCCGCGGTTGCCTCAACTAAGCGATCGATATGCGGCAGCGGATAACTATCCTTCGGACATGCTTTATTGAGATCGGTAAAATCGACGCAAACTCGCCACTTTCCGTTCTTTTTCTTTACGACAACGGGATTGGCGAGCCAGTCGGGATATCGAACTTCCGTGATCGATCCTACTTTGAGGAGTCTATCGACTTCGCTGTTGACCGCTTCAGTGCGTTCTGGCCCTAGTTTTCGTCTTTTTTGTTTGACGGGTTTGGATGTTGGGTCAACGTTAAGTTCGTGGCATGTGATGTTTATATCGATTCCCGGCATATCTTCCGCAGTCCAAGCGAACGTGTTCGAGTTTTAATTCAGACATGTCAGGAGTTCAACTTTTAAGGTCTCGCTCAGGTTCGCACCGATTTCAACGCAGCGTTCTGGAAAATTCTCGTCGATGCATACCGAGATGACGGGTTCACAGGTTGGCTCGCGTTTACCTTCCAAAGCCTCGGCCGCTCGCAACTGCCAGAAGAGTTCCGTTTTTTCTTGCTCTGGGGCGTTGTCGAGGGACGTCAACTTCTTTTTCTTTTTGGAAGAGATATCGACCGGCAGATTTTTTCGTTTTAGATCCGCAGCGTAGCAAACCTGCGAGGTTCTTCGATTTCCCCATATAGTCTCGATCCCGTACGGAGTCGAAAACTTGAGACACATATGGTACGTCGACGGAATCGCTTGCATCGAATTTAACCACGGTGTCCCTACGATTTCGTTGTAAGACATTGGTTGGTCGACGACTTCGAATTCGACGTTTTTCACTATGCTCCCGGCGCGAACTGCCAAGTTGATCGTTCCTAGGGTCATGGTGATTTCCCCCGAGAGTCCTACTAACGGGCTTATGTTTTCCGTGATTTCAGACAGATCGATTTCCATTCTCTCGAGAGTATTTTTGAAGATGATATCAGCCAAGCTTCCGGTATCGACTAATATCCTTGCGACATCCATATTCTGGACCGTCAGCTCAATAACAAGAAGATCGTTGAGAGGTTTGATCGAATCGATCGTTGCTCTTTTCTCGAACGAGATGATGTCGCCGTTCCGATTAGGCATGTTATTTCTCGTTCGTTTTAGCGACTATTGTGTAAGAGAATCCGACCCCCCCCCTCCTTCTAGCGCCAAACTGTGGGAACCAAAATCCACACTGTCGATTTTCCATCAAATATGGAAACTTAGGATGAAACCCTAATATTCCCGAGGTCCTGGATCTCTACGGAAATCACTAAAACAAACGAATTTAATAGAATATGGATGAACAATGAAGAACAGAGAAATAAGAACTTGTATGAAAGCTTTTATTAAAGAAAGAATCGACAACTGTTACAAGAAGAATTGCAGAACATAGACGTCAAAACGTTCTAAGGATCTAGATTGCTATTCAAAACGCTAAGTCTTAAATTCCTAAGCTAACAGCCGTCTTTTTTTGTCTGATTTTCGTCCCCCTCTTCTGCCCTACGCCTCTGGTTTATATACTCCTTGCTTTGACGGTTCGATCTTTCCATTTCACCCGGATTTGAGTATATCGGGAATCTTCCATTTTTCTCGATCCATCCTTTTCTTCCGCGGAAATCTTCTATTTATTTTCAAACCTGCCTTTTATCTTCAAGCTTGACATTTATTTTCCTTCTGCGACTAAACCGTCAAAACGTTATCGTATCTTCGGGTTAGATTCCGTCAAGATCGCGAGCTGGGCTTTTTATCGCGTTTTAGGACCTTCCGGGCCGTTTTGCGATAAATCCGTTTTGCAACTTTGTACGAGATCGTTTCCTGATCCGATGCCGTTTTTAGTAAATTCTCCGAGTTAATCGAAAATTTTAGATACATTCGTTTTCTTCGGTTAATCGTTGCCGTTTTTACGATTTAATCGACATTTTTATTAAAAACGCGTTTTTTACGATTTTTACGAAAAATCTCGAATAAATCGTATAGTTTAGGCAATGTTCGGTGTTTCGTTTAACCGTTACCGTATTATACGATTTCCTCGAGTTCTTTTCGAGAAAACAAAGTTTCACGGTTTTTATCGTAAAACTCGAACGATAGGACAGATCGAGACAAAACGGGAGACATTTCGGCCCTGGTTCGAAACGTGACAGTGTCGAAGGACGTAAGTTTCGAATCGGGGATGCGGGAGATCGAGGCGCGGGATACCCGGGAAGTCTCTAGTTCGCCCAACGGCGAACTAAGCCGGCTGGCTTAGTTCGCCGGTGGGCGAACTAGTCGTGATGGGACTAGTTTGCCCACCGGCGAACTAAGCCAAGCTGGCTTAGTTCGCCGGTGGGCGAACTAGTCGTGACTAGTTCGCGTTTTACGGCTGTTTCGGTTTTTTGCGGTTTCGTAAAACGATCTTCGAGTTTTATAAAACGATTCTCGAGTTTTATAAAATGATTCTCGAGTTTTATAAAACGATCTTCGAGTTTTATAAAACGATTCTTCGAGTTTTATAAAATGATTCTCGAGTTTTATAAACGATTCTCGAGTTTTATAAAACGATTCTCGAATTTTATAAAACGACGTTCGGGTTTTATAAAATGGTTCTTCGAGTTTTTATAAAACGATCGTCGAGTTTTATAAAATGATTCTCGAGTTTTATAAAACGATTCTCGAGTTTTATAAAACGGTTCTTCAGTTTTATAAAACGATTCTCGAGTTTTATAAAACGGTCCTCGAGTTTTATAAAACGACTCTCGAGTTTTAAGAAATGACTTTTGCGGAAAGTAATGATTCCAGAAGTTATCGTAGACGTTGATTTCGAGATTACGGTTTTTGACACCAACATTTATTTTATGCATAAATGAAATCAATAGAGGGGATAGACAAACAGTATTGCTAAGTTGATTGGCTAGATGAATTTGGTTGCTAAGCTAGGATATGGTATAATGTAGTTTTGTAGTTGATAGATATGAGATGTGGCTTGCAACAAAGTAGAGGTTATGATCTTAAGTTAAGATTTGATTGAGTCCCTGCTGTTTTCTTTTTAAACTTCTTCCAAAGACTAACCATTGTGTTTGCTTGAGGACAAGCAAAAGGTTAAGTCTGGGGGAGTTGACCTACCATGGTTTTGACCCACTTTTAACCATGGTATTTATATGATTTTATAATATATATATATATATATATATATATATAGATATATATATATGTTTTGGAGTCTATTAGGTATGTTTTCACGTTTAGGAGCATTTTGGAGTAAAGTGATGATTTAGGTGCCCTTATGGACTTAAAGGAGAGTTTTCCCGAGATGACTATAAAGATCAGACAATAAGGTCGATATCCAGAGATACATATCGATCGATACATATCCTGTGTAATCGATAGACGACGCTTCCGTAGAAGATGACGAATTGAGATACTCCATCGATCGATGTACACCATGTACCATCGATCGATATGAAGCGTGAAGAACAAGTTGACTCGACCTTGAAGCCCAAGTTCTCTCAATATTACAATATTTCCCCTGACGAGTTTTTAACCTAATGGAACTCATATTTATAGTTATGTCTATGTGTTTTGGCTAGACATGCTTTTTTTGCTTTTTGTACTTCAAAAGCTTTACATGCTTTTTATGTTCTTTGATTTATAAAAGTATTCTTTTTATCTTATTCTCATTTTCATAAAAGGTTATAGAATTCTAAATTTAGAACAAACACACAAAGAATTATTTTTATCTTATTCTCATTTTCATAAAAGGTTATAGAATTCTAAATTTAGAACAAACACACAAAGAGATTTTTTGTTCAAAAGAACCAAGAGTTCAATCTTCTAATCTAATGAATTTTTTATTATTACCTTCCTGCTATGAATCACTTAGCCATGTCTGAGTAGATTCACTTGTTAGATTTAGGGTTCAAATAGTTATGAGGGATTAGCCCAACTATGTATTGTTGAGTTGTGGTATTCATTATCCAAGTGAACCCTAATGCTTACTCTAGATTAGCTAACTAGAGTATGATCATGGAATGATTTAACCTTGTTAATCATCATCCTGAAATCATCTAGTATAAGCTGAGGTCCTCTTGGGACGTGCGAGAGCCGGTCTATGATCTTGGTGAACACATATTCAATTCGATATGAAGCTATATCGATCGATACTCCTGTAGAGTAATCGATCGACGGCTACCTATATCGTCCGATATGGCTATCATACCATTGGTCGATATTTTCGGCAGTCGGATCAATGGACGAGTCCAATAGTGACTGCTAATAGACTTATCTAAGAATTGAAGTTCTTTAGTATCTTGCAAGAAACTTATAAAGACATCTATAGCATTATAATCCTGATTATCTGAATAGTAACCTTGAATCTAACTACTTTCTTTTATTGTTTAAAACCTAAACCAATTCTCTTGAGCAACTCACCATTGCTCACAACTGCAGTTTACCTTTAAACCTTAATCAACCTAGCATAATCACTTTGGATTATATCTTTTGTGCTCCTTAGTTCCTTGTGGATTTGATCCCTAAGTACTACAACTGAACCTCTTATTTGAGAGAGTAATTCACTCCTTAGGGTAAGTTGAGTTATATCAATTACTTCATCCATCTTAAAGGTTTCACCTTTCTTTCTAGGTTTCTTAATACTCGATCAAAGATGGTGTCTTTATTATTGTTTCATTGCATTGGTTCTTGTAGATCCAACAACAGGGTTTGATGGATTAGCTGAAATTCTGGAGAATGGTCTTTATGAGCTTAATATTGTTGCTGATGATGGAAGTCTAGAAGAAGTATGCATTTTCTTTTGGATTTTTACATTGATAATTACTTGTTTTTCTTGGGGGTGCTGATAGTGTTTTTGCTTCGTGATGCAACTGAAAGGTGACAGACACGTTACTAGATTGGTATTATGAGTTCCTTGAAGGTAACTACCAAAGGGTTGAGAAATTGAGAGCTACTACTTCTCAGAGGAAGGCCAGTGTTGTCAAGCTTTGTCTTCTTAGTCATTCTATCTTGTTATACAGTTCATGCCGAAGTCACATTTTTCAGATTAATTTACATTTATAAAGACTAGTCTTTTAGTATTCGAAGTGTAACAACCTAGTCCCCCGGCATCCGACCGGAGTTTAGTGAAAGGGTGTTATGGACACGTGTCTATTCAATTAGACAACCCTACGTGTCATTTACTTGTCCCAGGAGTCGACGGATGCAATCTTTTAATGAAATCCGATCCACCCGTATCCACGTATTTCCACATACAGTCCTGCGCATAGGGGAAACGGAGATGGAGGGATAAGCAATTGGGGTTACTCAGTGAAGTGACTCTAGTCCAGCTTGTGCACATGGCACTCTAGACTACCCCATGCGGAACCAGGACTGACTAACCACTACAATCAATATGCAACACACAAATCATACATCAACAATTCCACAAAGTATTCTAGCACCCTAACGTTCATACACCGCAATGACTCAGCCGTTGCTTCACATAGAATCAATCACGCAATCAACCTACTAACTAAACTCACCAAACAACCTGGAATTAAGGACCTAGGGCCGTTTACGGATTTTCCTACGCGTTCCGGCCTAACCTGGAAGGGGCACCCTCTTTCGAGAAATCTGTCTCCCCTACAGCTTTCTAAATGACTATCTGAGTTGCAGCTCGTTGGCTCCCAGCACTGTCCGCCACCCCGGTCTTAATAGCCATAATTATACCACGACTCGGTATTGACTCGATCCTAAGGCGCCTATTTCTTATCCCGCAGGTCCCTCCCAGAGGTCTCTTCTACGGTCGTCGTCCTTTCACGGCCTTTCACATCTCGCCCACGGGTACCTCGTGTTAGGCTACTGTCCCGTGAGCCCCTGCGGGTACGTCTTGTTAGGCTACTGTTCCGCAGGTTACACATCCTAGACTCTAGACGCCCACCCATTCTCGGTGGTCCAAACAGAACTTCAAACAAGTTCATTGACACAACCACATTCTCATATATGTTCTTATTCACTTTCTCACTCTCATCCTCATTCTCATTCTAATTCTCATTCTCATTTTCATTTTCATTCTCATTCTCATACTCAATATCATTCTCATTCTCATACTCAATTCACTTTAACTCATTCGCACACACTTAGACTCATACTCAACTCTAGATGCCACCCGTTTTCGGTGTTCCACACAATACACATAACATTCACACTCTCAAACACTGATGCCAAAGGACATCTCATTCACATTCATCTATCTCTCACTTAAGATACCAATTAACATATCTATCATCTTAAGCATTCACTTCTTTCTAGCAACCTAGCTTTCATTCATAATCATCACAGGGGACACAAGTCATTCACACAATCATTCATCATCAATCATTATCCACATCAACATAAGTTAGTTCATTAAGTCCCATTTAAGCAGTTCGAGGGTTCTTATGAATCATGATTCATTCATCTATAAACCTACACCCATTATGATCTAACAACTTAACTTTCAAACAAGGACTATCCAAACCCTAATTCCAACATCAACCAGAATAGAGGTTTGAGAACAGATCTGGATTCGAATCACCTCACCTTAGCAATAGATCTAAGATCTGGAGATCTGGATCTCAGAACAAGAGATAAGAGGGAACGAGATCTGGTCGCCTCCACACCAC